ACCCACAAACACACACAAACACACACACACACACACACACACACACACACACACACACACACACACACACACACACAAACAAACAAACAATATGACGAGTACGTGTGATCCCGCAATACAAATCAATCTCACTGCACGAGGCGGCCTAGTTTCTCTACTCACCTTATCGTACTATATATCTCCGCAACTATAAGCAGTGCATTGTTTCACGCAAGACACGCCACAAATGTAGTTGTACCACTTGTGACTGATTGGGCAGGTTCCTTTGACCTAGTCAGGCCGTTGTCAAAGCAGCAGTGACGTTACGGAAATTCGGCAGCTAATTTCGTTATGTGCGGATTACAAGCGGTTTGACATATACCCTCAGGGATGACAGTAATCCTGTGTTGGCGTATTCTGACACGGAGCTTGGTTGTGGAACACCAACCCGACTAAATCGCTTTAAAAAAAAATTATTCACCTCTTTTGCGGAGCTCCGATGCCTACGAGTCTGTAGGGGTGGGGGGAGGGGCAATGTGTCGATGAAAATTCACATAATTAACGTTAATACACCCAAAAAATAACGTTACAAATAATAGAACCAAAATGGAACCATCCATCTTAATTTTATCATGCAAGTGCTTTATTTATTCAACCGATAAATATGATTTGTGCAGGCGCATGCTCCATATATGCAACGGAAAAAGCAGCTGGTTTAAAATTATAAATACGAAGTAGATCGCTCATACTTACGAGTATTTTTTATGAGAAACGGCTATCCCAAATGCTTGGTTTAATAATATTATAAGGCGCCCATACAATAAAAATTTAATTTATTCTAGGATGGGAGTAAGATCTGTGTTCGCGCATCCGTATAACTGCTAAACAAAATATTAGATGGTTAATATTATACTTTTATAACTGAGAGCACTTACTCATGAGTAGTTTGGGATAGAAAATTGTTTCTGAATGTTTCGTTTCTATCATTATATGGCGCCCAATCATTCCATGCAAGGAAATTGCATGGAATCAACCATTCCTCGTCTTTTCTTCATAATAGGGCTCAATATCACATCTTGTTAAGCATATTGTTGTACGTCTAGGTTGCCGTGGAGCCTCGATAACGGCGTTGCTTGGTATTTGTAACACTATTGGTCCAGCATTCTCTCTTAAGGCTGGTTGTTCGGCTTAAGGCTGCATGCTATCCTCCAAACCGTAAAATTTATTTCAGACCATTTTTCGACTTTTCAACGCTCATTTATGATTATCCTAATCAAAATAACGAATATGTCTAACGTAGAAAAAAATGACACCAAAAGTAAACCGGGATATCGTCCAGGGCGTTCCGATCGTAAAGCTAACGCTGTGTATACTGGACAAGCACTGACCTGCGTATCGATAATGTAAATTAGGCAAACACTTCGATAAGCTAAATACACTAAATTAATGTAACTTCTAACTTTTAAAAGTAATTTTTTCACGATTAACTACACCTTGTAGTGTTATCATGGCTCATAGGGTCTATGTCCCCCAGGGTACTGCCGGAACGTACCCTGGTAACTATCTGATATGGTTAGGGTTAGGGCTAGGGTTAGGGTTAGGGTTAGGGTTAGGGTTAGGGTTAGGGCTAGGGTTAGGGTTAGGGTTAGGGTTAGGGTTAGGGTTATGGTTATGGTTAGGGTTATGGTTAGGGTTAGGGTTAGGGAGTAGGCGTAGGCGAGTCCCTACACTCGTTAGTGGAGTAGGCGAGGTACGGTCCGGCATATTAAGCACAACGCACACACCCGAGCGAAAGACGAAATTTTGTTTTCCAGCGTTTCGCGTTCTGCTGAGCGAGCAAGCGCACACAGCTGAGCAAAACATACAGAAACACTGCGTACAGCGCCGCTGTCACATGACATTCAAAATAGCCACCCAATGGACATCCAATTTTGTGTGTCATGTGATATTTTTAAGGATATTGATTGGAGACCGTCTGTGGCGTTTCGCTGTGTAGCAGAACAATTGACGCACACACCCGAGCAAAACATACGCTCAGACGAAACACGCTCCGGAAATCAAACATTGCTTGTTCAGCGAATCACGTTCCGGTGTTTTGCTCGGGTGTGTGCGTTGGGCTTTAGATAGTACCAGGTACGTTCCGGTATACCGGACCGTACCCAGGGTAGGTTCCGGCAGTAACCTGGGGGACATAGACCCTCTTAGCGTTACTATGTGGCACCACAAACAAAGTTAGTTGTAATAAAAGTGTACAGAAATGAAAAAAAGGATTGTGACGTAGAAACTACTATTTGAAGTGCTATTTGAGTGTGTGAGAGCGTGCGTATATCCACCAGGTACGTGAATACTGTCGGTGTAAAGTAATAGTTATCGCAGGATTATCGTTGTAGAAAGAACAAGACCAGTTATTGCACTTCCTTTCATTCCTTGCGGTTCATTAATTCTGCTGGCGCGAACAACCATGGGAAACTGAGCAACATAGGATAGTCCCGCCATCTACCGGCAGAATCGGCTGAATTATCTATTACCATTGTAACGCTTGTGTAACCTGTTGGACGGGCTACACATCTCTAACCCTGTTTGACAGTTTTCGAATTACACGCCCTCGCACACGTACACAAACGCAAGCACACAAATATCACATAATTAGATGGCTCATTGTAACAAAAATCTTGTCTACTAAGACCTGCCATGCAGTATAGATAAGGGAAGAGCAGTTGTTTCCAGGATGCTGGATTGGACCATTTTAATTGACTGGTGAATACTGGATAAATTATTTGTGATTCGGAAATAGAAGTCAACCAAGACGCAGGAAAATCGTAATTACTTAACCGTAAACGGGGAAACGGCACATTTTTATCTGGGAATATGGGAATGGATCTCCCTCCACACACACACACACACACACCACACACACACACACACACACACACACAGCTTGTTCTTCTTTCGTCTTATTCTTCTTCTTCTTCTGTCTTCTCGGGTTCTTCTTCTCTCTTCTTCTTCTTCTTCTTCTTCTTCTGCTTCTTCTTCTTCTTCTTCTTCTTCGTCGTCGTCTTCTTTCTTCTCTTCCTCTTCTTCTTCTTCTTCGTCTTCTTCTTCTTCCTCCTCTTCTTCTTCTTCTTCTTTCTCTTCTTCTTCTTTCTCTTCATTGTCTTTTTCGGCTCTCTTTCTCTCTCGCTCTCGCTCTCTCTTTCTCTCTCTCTTTCGCTCTTTCTCTCTCTATATATATCTCTCTCTCTCTTCTTTTCTTTCTCTCTCTCTCTCTCTCTCTCTCTCTTCTCTCCTCTCTCTCTCTCTCTCTCCCTTCCTCATCTCTCTCCTCCATCTTCTCTTTCCTTTGTCTCTCGTCGGCGTCTCTCTGCCTCTCTCCCTCTCGTCTCCTCGCTCTCTCTTTCTCTCTCCTCTCTCTCCTCTCTCGCACACTACCTACTCTCTCCGTCTCTCTACTCTCTTATATATATATATATAATATATATACTAATGCGAGTATACAGAGTATAACGGCAGAATAACATTATTTAGTATCCAAAACGACCCCTATAAGGTTAATGGTCTCTGTTTCGTATATCATTCATAAGCTGATAAACACTCTTTCCGTTCTGTGAACCTACAAGCTTACAATTAATTGTCATGTATTTGCCTCACAAAGTCCTTAAATCACAATCACCCTGGTGATTAACGCGACATTTACATGCCCTAACATGATGAACAGGTTACGGACTTGGTCACTTCGACTTTGACGTGTTCCTACGTTTATCGGGTTTGTCGAATTATTCGCCAGTCGATAAGTATTGTATGCCTATATAATAGGCTTCTTTACAAAGGTTTCGGTGACGGTGTGTGTAAATTCCTGACGTGGTCGCCCCAGTACTCACCAATAGTGATCTCGTCTGTTTCACATTTTTGTTGGAGAAAGAGGCATTCCTCATACGTACACCCCATCAACTCCACCAC